TGTGTGTGACCTGTCCACTCTGCTCATTTCTTTCTCCTGCTTGTCCTTTTTTTCACTTTTCTGCTCACTTGTCAACAATATCTCTTTCCCATCTACAACTAGACTATTAGTATTGCAATTGAAACCAGTTCCTAATAAAGTTACCCAGCCAAACTTCATTTTATTACTTGCTAAAACAATTTTTTATGTGTGTATAGCGCTCAGTAAGTGTTAATTTTTAAACCTGACTGCAAGATGGGCATTGTTTGAGTAGACTGTTTCGAAACTATAATTACTTTTGCAGTTTAATTTGACTATTCGAGCCCACATTTCCCACCTGAGCACCAAGGCTCAATGTGTCCAGACCATGCATGTTAACCACTAAGCCACAGGTCCAACAAAATGTGTTTGATTTATTGTGTTTTTTATTTTTTTATGTAGACCCATTTACACACTGAAACTCTTGCACGCACGCGCACATACACACACACACACACACACACTATCTTTGGCTGATCTTATGATTGTTTCGGTGAGGGTCAGTTGTATGATGGCTGCAGCCATTAACACACTTCTCCCCTCACAGACTTACACACACCTCTCTGAATTGCGTTTAATCCGCTGGTTTTAATGGAATGTTCCCCTGTGGCAATTGAGCTACACACAGGCAGACAGATATTCATGAACACACATTCAACATTTCTTAAAGAAAGAATTACACCTACACAGAATCCATGAATGAAAAACATTTACATAAATTATGGATTGCACAAATTCAAATTTAGAAATTATGAATTCATGTTGAAATCATCTTGTTCTTAGTGGCGGACATCTCCCTCTCTCTCTTTTTCTCTCTCTATCTGTTTCTCTCTCACCTCCACATTTCTACTTCCTCTCTCATTTCTACATCTTCCACATCCTCCCTCTTATTCTGTTTCGCAATTACTTCTTTCGGCACCCGAACAGTGAGAATAAGACATGCTCTCTCTCTATGGACTTGCAGCATAGTGGTATTCTGAAATGACTGCCACATTGCCAGGTCCAATCTGATTGGCTGGCTGCTATGTAACTTCTGTGAGTCAGAGAGCACCAGTCCACCATGAGACAAAGTCATGTTTGCAAGTCACAAAGTTTGCCAGGTCAGTGGTTTCACATGGTTGAGCTAGATATTCAAGTTTTTGCATAGTGGCAAGTTAAATAGATATTCCATAAAGTCGGTTGTGGACCAACACTTGTGCAATTATTTCGAGACTCTTTTCCTCTCCAATTAATTTTTTTCTATCAACTTGGGATGGTAACAATGATATGTTAGATAAACTCACCCTTAAATAACATTTAAAACAGAACAAATTGTGGTTGGTTGCCTTACATGTTGGTCAAACCAGTCCAGTTCCTGTCTAAATGGGCGGTTCTTGGCCAGAATAAACTCTAAAATGGATCAGGCTGTATGGTTTTACCTATTCTATGATTAACATGTATTTCATTTTAATTTTTAATTTAAAAATAATTTAGAATCGAAAATGTCAGGGAGATTTAACTGATATCGTAATGGGGGAAAAAATTAATTAAATGAATCAAATTCTTGAAATGAAAACCTGAAGTAATTTGCCATTTATTATTATTTCTTAAAATATATTAAGAAACTGCTTCACTGCTTATTAATATTTGAAAAAAAAAATGACATAAAGGGGCCTTGTGGAGACCCTCAAGACTGTGTCAATAAGTCCTTTTTGAACTTCTTCCATGACAAGGTACGTTTAGGATGTAAATGTCATTACGGTTCAAACCCCATCACAAACTTTATATATTTATAAATTCATTACATTCATAAAATATGTTTTTTACCTACTCACATATATTCAAGGTGTGAGGAAAATGTTATTTCTGTTTACTTGATGGTTACACATGACATTTTTTCCAGTTAAATCAAAACCATTGTTAAATATAGTGTAGTTTATGTGTACATTAATGAGGAAAAAAAATTAACTTAAATGATTTTAGCAAATGGCTGCAATATAACAAAGAGTGAAAAATTTAAGGGGGTCTGAATACTTTCCGTACCCACTGTATATATATATAAATACATACACAACACAAATACAAACGGTACATTTCTAAGAGCTCAGCACCATTTTATTTCAAATAGTTTTTCTATCTTTTATTTATCTTGAACACTCTTTTGAACACTCTATTGAACACATTTTATTTATCATCAACCTTCATGCTAACAAAAGTCAAGCTTGGCAAGACCGCTAAGGTAAATATGGGAAACTATAACACTTATTTTCCAACAATAAAATATTGAAACCAGCTTTTGCTTGTTAATGCAAATGTCACAGTAACCAGAGCAGGTTTGAATGATGGAGACTCGGTTCTTCATGAGTGACCTTCTTGTGAACTCCAGGCTGTGGACACCAAAAGAGAAGATAAGATCTTTATGGGGTCAGTGCTTCATGAGCGTCTCTCTCTCTCTCTCTCTCTCACACACACACACACACACACAGACACACACACACACACACACAGACACACACACACACACACACAGACACACACACACACACACACAGACACACACACACACACACACAGACACACACACACACACACACAGACACACACACACACACACACAGACACACACACCCCGTCTCTCTCTCTCGCTCTCTCTCTCTCTGGAAATGAGCCGAATCCTCTTCTAAAACACAAAGTTGATGAAGTTGCCGTGCTTGTCATTGGGAGGCCCTCAGATGAAGTTACAATGTGTGTGTTGAGGGAGTGGGTTTATAACACTCATTATGTTTCATCCCCTCACACTGTCTCCATTTCTCTGTCTGTTCTAGGCCCCAGAGAATACTGTGTAAACACAATACACGCTTCAGAGCCTAGTTCTGTGTGTGTGTGTGTGTGCGCAAGAGAGTGTAAATGTGTATTTTCTGCAAGCATGCTGTCCTAATGTAAGGTGTAATTAAGTGGTGTGAAGTATGGCAGGTTGTGGGCGGGTCTTGCGGTGCCATGACTGAAGCAGTTTGCCGGCTGGGCTGTCGTTCATGCCGCTTTGAGGCTTCCAGTGATCTGAGCTTCACTGACAGCTGCTTTGAAAAGCTCTTCTCTTTTAGGCTGTCAGTTTAGTCTAAACAAGCCTCTCTGGCTCTCTCCTGGTAACAAATTTTTTTTGTTGTTGTTTTTGTTTTGTGTTTTTTTTACTGTTGTTCTTACAGTTTGGACTTCTTACATCCAAGCAGTCGTCCTTGTCTTTGACAGGAGAAGTGTGTTTTGGCAGCCTCCTCTATGTTGCCTGATTTGACAGTAGTAATGAATAGGGAGGTAAAGATTCACTTTGCTTTTTTACCCTATGTTTAAAAAAGTTTGAACAGCAGGGATGAAATAGTTTTATTTGTTTGATGGTTTATTTATTAGTTGTGTTTTTTATTCGGGTTGGAATTCAGTTTAGTTCCATTTTGCGATTTCATTCCTATTTTGATTCAATTGTATTCTGATTCATTTGGGGTTATCATTGCAATGTATTTGGAGGGACAGATAGTAGCTTCAATGTAGCGATAAAAATCAGAGTGAATCTGATTATCGAAATGAAAAAAAAAATGGCAATGAACTTAGGTTTATGCATTGGTTCTTGATTGTGAGGCTGCAGCCAATTGTAAGAAAGATGCTGGTTTTATGTGGACAAAATGACTAGAGAAGTCTGGCATGCAACACCAGAAAGAAGTCTTAGTCTTTCACCAGAAGATTGAGTTTTTTTTAAAGGCATGGATGAATCACTCACAAGAAGATAAACAACATGCATATACAAAAAAAAAGAATTCCCATTTCATGCTGACTTTAATGTCCATTTTTGCTTGCATAAAGAACATGCAGTATTTTTTTTTTCCTGGAAATGTTGAAAATTATACAGGGCCATGATTCAGACTTATTCAAAAATGGTATTTCATCCAGTAATCTTTCATCCTCATTTAGTCAAGTCACAAGATCTTTTTTGTGATTTTAAAAAGAATTACAGGATTGTTCAAATAAAGGTCCAAATTATTTGGAAAATATTGATATTTTTACACAAGCCTATTTGCCATACTTGCCAAACATGCATTAATCATTCACAAAAAGATGAATAACATGCATTTAGAAAATAAATAAATTTCCATTCATGTTGACTTTAATGTCCATTTTTGCTTGCATAATGCAGTATTGTAACTTTCTGCTAATGTTGCTAATTATAGAGGGCAGTATTTCAGACTGATTCAAAAATGGTAATTCATCTCTTTGAACTATTCATTCAAATAACCTGGTCATAAGGTTCATTTAGTCAAGTCACAAGATCAAAATCTTACGATTTAAAAAAATCCTTTCACAGGGATTGATTGACAGGTGATCTGACCAATCATAACACAGAATCTGCCATTTTTATCAGACAAACAAACCAGACAAGAGAGTAGAGTGACGTTGGTGGATTTGAACCTGAAAAATGGTGTGTATTGACGTCTTTCCGTGGCTGAAACAAGATACCTCCTGATGTTCATCTGATGTTTATTTTGCACTATAACTAGTGAAGAGGAAGAGATGATTAGTTCACGTGCCGCTTAAACTGAGGCGCTACAGCAATCTGTCACGACACAATAAAGAGCCACAAAATGGAATTTATTGTTTGAATTTCTTAAAAATGACCAAATTTGAAAGCTGAGACTTGGTTTCATATGTAAAGTAACCTTCTCTGTCAGTGTGTTGTCAGTTTCCGCTTTGATGTGTTGCGTGAGAGCGCCATGGCTTGTCGGACATACCAACAGTAACGTTGGGGGCGGGTCTTTGCAAAGGGTCAATTAATTGTATATTAATATTATTAGTCATAAAATAAGAATTTACACATTTGTAGACATAAAACACACATGCAAAGGCTCTGCTCTGGGCCTAAACCTGTTCTTGTGAGTTAACTGACAAATTCCCATCTTCTAATGTGGGTGTGTGTAATTGTGTCTTTGAGAATTCATTAACATTCCTCTCTTTTCTCACAGGTGCAGAAGTGACGGAACCCAACATTTCCGACCGCCGTGGCGAGCGCATGGACCTCCTGGTAAAGCAGGAGGAGGCCGCAGCGGGGGACGGCGGGTTTCTGTCCGGGGAGCGGGATGAAGCCGTGGCCCAGGAGAGAGCGGGCTCGGTGGCCAACCTGCGAGCCGCCCTCATGAGCAAGAACAGCTTGTTGTCTCTGGGGGCAGAGATGCTTGGAGAGGAGAACCAACTTCTGTTCGACTACCTGCCCAAGGGAGGACACACTCTCTCCCGTAAGTCACACTGTGATCCGCTGCTCTCGCTCATGGAGTTTCCAATAGGGAGTCTTAGGTTCTGATAGCATCCCACTGGGATGTAGATGTGCTCCTGTTTGAATGATATATGATGTGTGTTACATGCTATCATTGGGTGCATAAAGACTGTCCTATAGTCTCTATAAACCATAGGGTCCTGTAGGGACTTTTAGGTACTTGTATGCTGGGCTGTATGTTCTATTGAGTTTTTGTAGATCTCCTACATAAACAATGATGTTTCGAGAGGATCTATAGGAACTTGTATGTGGTCCTGCTAGAATGATAAAGGCTGTGCTGAGTTTTGTTACTGTATGCGTCCACAAACCTTGGAGTTTCCTAAATAGGGACTCTTAGGCTTTGGGATCTTCTGCTACCATTGAATGCTTGAAACCTCGCCTATATGTTTCTGTTTGTCTTTGTAAACCTCTGTGCCCCTGTGAAGTCTTTATGAGTAGTGTAGCCTCCTACTGACTTACACGAACCCTTGTGTCGTCTATAGGCTCTGGTGGAATCCTAGTTGACCGTGTCTTAGAGACTTCGTCAGTGTGGATGACTGTGTTTGAGTGAGGAATTGCATTTTCTGCATTAAGGTTATAGGTTAAAGTGTATATGGGTCCTGTAATTGGTTGCCATTTCTTTAACGTTTTTCATCACTTTTAATCAAGGTCATGATTTCTCCAGTTCATTTCAGTGGTTTAAAGCAGCTTTAGATGTATTTTAGACTGTTTAAAATGAACAGCTATTTCATAGCTTTAAAGCGTACATGTAGTATTTGACCTTCATGTTCCATTCAGTAATTGTGCTCTAAAATTGTCCGTCTGAAAATCAGGTTTGCAGATATTTAAAAATGTATTAATGATGGAAAGGAAATTGACTTTGGGAGCATAATATATATATATATATTTTTTTTTCGTATTTTGTCTTTTTTTAAGACACTACAATGCAAGATGATTTTATATTTAATATTAACAAATTACTTATTTCGATTAATGAGATTATGTGTTATTCAACACTGGGAACACACAAGGAATATATTTACAAAATTGCATGATGGCATATTTAGAACATTGATAATACACATTCATACACATTAAATTCCAGATGCGTGCGTGTGTGTGTGTGTGTGTGTGTGTGTTAATATCTTTTTTTATGATGGGACAATGGAAAAAAATGATGTGAAGTCTGCAGCCGTGTTACTGCAGTTTGCTCTTAACGACTCTAGATACATGTAAAATAGTGTGTTGAATGGCTGCAGACAGAAGGCAGTGTTGAATCTGAATGTACTCAGCTGAGAAAGAACTACAATTTCTAGACTGTAGTTTGTCATATTTAGATGCGTCCATATACATATTTATGCCCTCAACAAGTTATTTTGTTGAAGTGTGTGAGTAGTAACATTTTTGTGGTAGAATTCGTCCTCCGAAAACACCAGAGCTTTTATGAATGGCACTGAATTTCATAAAAGCTTTGGGATCGCCAAACCCAATTTTTGCCCACACTCAATCACTTTGTCAAAGTATTGAATGTGTGTGGCTCTGTGAGTGTGTTATGTTATGTTATTTTTGGCTTATTCCTTTGTGAGTTTATATCTCCTTCTCTCCCTTTCTTTGCCTCTCTCTCTCCCTCTGTCATGGGTTGGTAATTTTCTCTGTTGTCTGTTTAAGTTCAGTCTTCTGAATAGGAGAGGGAGGACAACTCTGAACCACTCCTGCTCTTAAAACCCTTAGGGCAGGCTCAAGAGTGTGTGTTTGCTGAACTACATTAAGTCTTAATGGCCACTCTTGAGGATGAAACACAGTGGCTGTCACTCACGCCACAGGAGCTTTTGTCTCCCAAACTCCAGCTAAAAGACGACGTAGAGGAGCATTAATCTGATCATCTTGCTAATGTATGAATCCTGCCTTCCACCAGCACTGCCAGAATGTTCCTGTGATCTTTACTTCCGGCTTAAAGTCAACATGAAACACCATTCGCAACCCATTTTACCCATTGTGGCATGACATATTTCAGAGTAATACAGGATGTTCAAGGTTTTTATCCTTTGCGAATTGATTGGATTGTAAAAAGTGGACTTTAAATGGGAGGGTCTTGGTTAGGAGGTCTTGGTGACATCAGCTAAAAATTAAAGTTGTTTCAGAGGAAAGTTTACATGGATAAACATTTTTTTTTTTTTTGGGATAACTTTAACAAATGACTCGCAAATAGTTTAAAAATTAATATTATGTCATAATTTACTAACCATCCAAACCTGAGAGACTTTCTTTCTTCAGTAAATGGAAGAAAAAAAAAGTAAACCAAAGCAACATTATTCAGAGCACAATAAAATGGTTCATACGAACCACATTGTGTGTTTGTATATATTCCAAGTCTTCTGAAGTCATTTGGAAGCATTGTGTGAGAAACAGACTGATTTTTTTGTAGTGTTCATTAAACATCTTGACATCTCTTTTAGCTAATCTTGGTACATTCATGAGAAAAGTAGCAATACTTGATTCATGAACAAATACTTTTTTTGAGTCAGATCTCTCAGAATCTGTTAGAGGATAGTTCACCCAAATATGAAAATTCTGTCATTAATTACTCCCCCTCATGTCGTTCCAAACCCGTAAAACCTTCGTTCAGAACACAAATTAAGATATTTTTGATCAAATCCGAGAGCTTTCTGACCCTGCATAGACAGCAACGCAACTGGCACGTTCAAGGCCCAGAAAGGTAGCAAGGACATCATTAAAATAGTCCATGTGACATCAGTGATTCAACCAAAATTTTATGAAGCTATCAGAATACAAAGAAAACAAAAATAACTACTTTAATTTTCATTTTTGGGTGAACTATCCCTTTAATCCAGTTAAATTGGTCTAAATCAGTGTTTCCCAACCGGGGTGCCGCCCTGGGGTGCCGTCTGTCGAGAGCAGGGGTGCCGTGTAAAAATCCTTTTTTAATATTTTTAAATTGCTAAAATGTTCAAAAAAGCATCTATTATATAATATCCATTTCTGATGTCGCCAATAATTAGAGAATATGAATAAGAGCCCACATTAAAGTCTGTCATATAAATTGGTCTCTTCATCAGAAATTAGCCTTCTGATTGCCACCATTGATGGACAATTTTTAATATTAAAAATATCTGTATGACATTATATTCTGCAGTTCTTCCCTGTTGTACTGAATATCTATAATTTTCAAATTATCATATCAAAGTTAGAAATTCAAATATTGTGACAAAATTAATTTTGTAGGGTGCCACAAGTTTGTTAAAATTTCCAAAGGGTGCCGCGACTAAAAAAAGGTTGGGAAACACTGGTCTAAATGATTAATTCATTAAATGGACAAATCAGATTTTTGAGTTCAAAACCAAATTTGGTCACTCCGAGCTAACTTAAAGTTTCAGACTTTGAATAAAATGCACAAGTTGTATGGATCAATTTTATGGTGTTTTACATCCCTTTCGAAGCTTGAAAGAAAAATCTGTTGGTTTGAAACTACATTAAAGAAAGTAAATAATGAAACATTTTCATTTTTGGGTGAAGTATCCCTGTAAGACCAGTATATTAAAAATATAAACCGATTTGTTATTTCATGTTTATTTTATTGGAGAGATAAAAATCCATTTTTTAACATCTCAAACATGAAGAGACTTGTATTGAAGTCAGCACACACACACACAAACAAACCACACAGGCTCTCGTTAATATGTAACCGATCAACCGATGATAGTTTGGGGTTCTGCGCCCCTCTAAAACAAACAGCGCTCGTTGAACCGCACCGTGCCACTCTGACGAATCACTAGTTGCCCTCCTCTCCCAAACTTCAAAGTAGACTTGTTGAAGTCTCTGGGAAAGGAATTGATTTGATCGAGCCGAGTGGGTCACGGCAGGTCCCCTTGCGTCCTGCAGGCTGCTGTGATTAACCCAGATAGTGTGTTATTGTACTGGGTCAGGTTTGGTGGTGTGATTTGCTTTAGGTGTGTGTCTGTCTTCTCTACTGATCTATACACACCGACAGCAGGCTGACAACCTGTCCTCTTCAACGCCACTGCCGGAGTCTCAGGGGAAGTGAGTGTGTGTGTGTGTGTGTGTGTGTGTGTGGTTTCATGTGTATGGATATACTAATTTGCACTTACTAGGAATCAGTGAGTTGTTCCAAAGAAAGAACCATCTACAGTACATACTTGATGTATATTCCAAACCACAGTGTGAATATCAAAGGATACACAGTTAATATTACAACAATAATGCAATCACAATACTATAATGCAATACAATACAGAACTTGTACAATACTGCACATGGGCTGGTATACATATAATATATAGAGACAAAATATGTTTATATTTATGAATATACATATACAGTATGAATACTGTATTCTGTAACACTGAATTTGACCTTACTCATATTTGTAGATGCAAGATCACAAGTTACATGTTAAATGAAGTTAAAAGTTTGGACATACTTGTCTGAATTTGCCTCACAAAAATGCTTAGGGCCAGATTTACTAAACAGGGCAAATTAGTACAAGAGCGCAATTCCGAAACAGCGCTGATGGGCGTGGAAATTTCTGCGGGTAATTTACTGACAACGCGCAAATTAAAGAACACAGATGCAACATCTCATTTACTTATCGACCAAATTAGCATAGTCGCAAATAAGCAGAGCCGATGCTCATCAGGTGCGGGTGATCTACTTACGACACAGGTGCAAAATAGTTTAAGACATGCTTTTTTGGGGCGTTAAATAATGGCGCAAATACCAGTAATTTGATGAGCGCAAACGTTAGTAAATCACGTTGCGTGATTCATTTTAATACTCTCCTCCCGTAAATTTTGCGTCTGAAAGGGAAACTCCTACAAATGCTTATTCAATAAGGTCAGGCACAAAAATAACTGTGTCCATGCCTTTTCAGCGCTAATTCGTCACTGCGCGTCTAGTAAATCCTGATAGTACAATTTTAACGCCAAAAGATGGTTTGCGCTGGTGCACGCTGTTAGTAAATCTGGCCTATAAATTCCTGAAATGTTTTGTAGACAAATGTAAATGTTTCTGACTGTTTATTAATGTCTTTATAAACTAATTATATATTAATTATTATAACAGTAATGTATAAATATATATTCATTTTATTTTATATATGACTTTTATAAATTATATTTAAAATATTTGTTTTGGGCTTTTTTGTCATTTTCATATTTCCATTTGTGTTATTTCATAGATTGATAACTGTTATTCTGTAATGTGGGAAAGAGTTATGAGTTAGTGTGTCCAAACTTTTGACTTGTAGTACATGCTCACATGTTTTTACAATACTTTTTGTTGTAGTATTTCTTTATCTCTTATCCTTAATCAGTTGATATACATATTTTATCAAGATATTTAGAAATAGTGACTTGCAATTTAACATGAAAAATAACAGCGTGATGATGTGATTCCATAATTAATGTGCTGTGGAAGTACTGTTTAAAATAGATAATAATAATAAAAAATAATAGATTAATTAATTAATTAATTAAAGCAATGGTATTTAGTCAAGTAATGATGTTTTGTGGCATCGCATTACAATCCATTAAAACAGGACTGAATGTGTTTACATACATTTCTCATGCATACATTTAATTTATTCATTTAATTAATTTATTTTTGGCACAGGCAAATATCTAGAAAGAGGTGAATTGTGAGAGCAATATTTACAAAGAAAAACAATGTAAGTGAAAGCAACAATTGAAAGTTGTGAATAAAAAATTTAATGAGAACTACAATTCGTTAAAAAAAATGATATTGGACAAACTCAGCCCAAGCTTAGATTAGCACTCTTGATTGTAAAACATTTCTGAAGTATTGGCATGAACCAGAGCAAATTCAGTTTAAATTACTGTAGATGGGACATTTTGGATTTTGGATTTGGATATTATTTAGAACCGAGTACCGTATTGGCCCGAATATAAGACGACCCTGAATATAAGACGACCGTGTTTTTTCAGATGTATTTCCAAGAAAAAAATATTGTCTTATATTCGGGACAATACGGTAATTCAATTGCTTTCTAAAGTGGAATTCAAATTAATGTGCTCATAATTGTGCATCTGTTGGCAATCTGTCAGCAAAAGTGAGCTGAATTTTTGGTTATTTTTGGGCTGAAATTTCATTAAATTGGACCTGAGCATGTGCCTTCCTGGTTGGGTGTAAATGCTTCACTAATGAAGGTAAAACTGTCCTGCAGTTCGAGCTATTTGTCTGCTTCCTTTTTTGTTTTTTGCAGAATTCATAGGTCATTACACTTCTGGGTTCTAGACAGTTTCATGAATGCTCTGCCCATGCTACAACATGGGCTGTATCCAAATATGCATATTTCCCTTCTATACAAGTTTAAAAACAATACATTAAAAGAGTATTATGTCAGAATTCACCGTAATCATAAAATAGTTTGCAAAAAGTACCCAGATGACCTACTATTTCGACAACATTCTGAAGTATGATACTTAAAGGGGTCATATGATGTTGCTAAAAAGAACAGTATTTTGTGTATTTGGTGTAATGAAATGTGTTTATGCGGTTTAAGGTTCAAAAAACACATTATTTTCCACATACTGTACATTATTGTTTCTCCTCTATGCCCCGCCTTTCTGAAACGCGTCGATTTTTACAAAGCTCATCGGTCTGAAAAAGTGAGGTGTGCTGTGATTGGCCAGCTATCCAGTGCGTTGTGATTGGCTGAATACCTCAAGCGTGAGACGGAAATGTTACGCCCCTCACATACTGTGATGATGCCCTGTCAGGCCGGAGCGATGATTCAAAAACATGAAAACCCATTATAAACTAGGCATTCGTTGCATCCAGTGGGGACATAATTATGGATTATAATGACTTATACTGTCTTTTTACGACATGGCGTCTTTACGACATGGCGGCGGAAACAACAAAACTACAGCGAGAATAAAAGTTACGCCTTCTTTCTTTGCGTGAACATTTGGGCGGTGTTATGCAAATCTTCCCACAGAGCGACGTAGTTATGTGGGGGCGTGTTAGAACGAGCCGTTTTAGGTAGGTGTGGCTGACTCTTAACTTTTATAAAGAATATCTCTTTGGATTTGAGACTTTAGTCTTTGCAACTTTACAGATCTTCTTTATGCACCAAGAGCTTTTAACACTCCAAAGAGAAAGGAAAAATTGAAATCGCATCATATGACCCCTTTAACTATCACATGAAGCCACAGGAGAGGATTTGTATGGAGGTGTATGTAGGTCACATGACAATGACAACATGGTGAATGTAGTACGTCCAGATTAAATTCATACTACACACATTCATACTACATAGAACAGAGTTATTACTTTTTCAAAGTACCTACTTAGAGAGCACGTGATTTCGAAAGCAGTTCACTCAAGAAATTGGTCTAAGAAGAATGTGTCTTCCAAACCACACAAAAATATTGTTAGCTGTCAGGTATCAGCATGGGAATGTAACACTAAGGTTTGTGCCGGTTCCCATAGAAAAGACACCCTATGACACGGCAGCTGGTGGTTAACCTCAGTTGGCTAGATACCATGTGGTAGTTTCTCGATTCTGGTGTATCATGAGCTGTAATAGCATAACATGATTTCCTGTATCCTCCCAGCTACTCATTGTTTCTACAATCAGATGAGCATTTTCTCCCTGTAGATTCCATTAGATTGGGAAACCAACCATAGTACATGTTACTTTATTAAGATAATTAATAGGGGAGATGTGAAAGTTAGTTCATCTTTACACCAAAGTCTGAGACAAAGTTTTTCAGGCTTGATCTCAAACCCTGACCTGAAATCAGCCTTTAAATTTTTGTTGTAATGGACCACGGTTGGTGGTCATTAGGTCAAATGCCCGTCCTAGATCCTATCAAACCTGCACTACATTGTTTCACTTACCCCCCGAAGAATTTCCTGAAAAGTTTTGCAACCGCCATCAAAATACCTAAGTGCACTTTAGTTGGGAATTTTACAAATGAGAGAATGACAGTGGACTGATGGTTTGATGTGAACCATACATTCAGTTTCAATTACTGTTAATTGATGTAGGGGAGTTTGCAGCACGGCTACATTTACACATTGCAGACAAAAGGAAGGAGAAATGAGAGGGTGATGTGTGTTAGATGGGAGTGAACGTGTAAGAGAGGAGAATTCCAGGAATCTGTTCGTGGTTGTGCATTACTGTAGCATGTGCATCTGTCCACTTAGCGCTTAACCAGCAACTCCAGCATATTCCCAACAACAGGAGTCCACAACCATTCTTGTCCAAAAAAAGACAAGATGAACATTCAGAAACACAGTGGCTTGAAAGAAGCACAGTCTCGCATATACTGTCTATTCAGATGACCTTGTATATAGTAGAGGTCTAGCATAAGTTGGAAAAATGAAATATGTTTGTTATTAAATTGCAAACGTTAAATGTAAAAGAAGACATTGTGGCAGACAAGTTAATCATTGAATAAAAATACCAATCAGTGAATTTAGAAGTCTAAAGATGCAGTCACATTTACTGTTGTTCGGGAATTTTTGGAGGTGAAATCCAGTCATGTTTCAGTAATTTTGCGTGAAGGTGAATCGAATTAGGTTCAGTTGGTCATGTCGGTTTGCTGAGTTGTCCAACAGAAAGCTGCTTGCTAATGCAGACCAACATCTGCATCTATTGCGGCATGTCTTGCGGCATGAGCACCATTTCTTAGAATGCAGTGTCAAGATAAGAAGTTTGAAAGGCTTTAAAAATGCATCTTGAGGTGCGACTTGCTAAGAAAAAATTCCTTACTGCAGAATTACATAAGGCATGATTATTTTTTTCTAAATAATCACATTGAATTAACATTAAATTGACAGTTCTGATTATTATACATCAAAGCTATGTGGTTCTAAACATTAAAGACAAATCATTCCTCAAAATGTCACATTTGTCCCTCTACTTTCTATAATTGGTGTAAATATTTCACCTTTCTCTGAACCTTTGCCTCTGCTGCTCTTGGTTTCTGTCATGAAGCATGGTTACGGTCTATTTTGTGTATAACATGAATGAACTTTTGCACAGATACTGGCAAGTAGCCTGACACGTTTTTTTAAAATAAAGGGAACGTCCGCCATCATTTAAAAGCCTCTTCTTTCCTATTTCTTTATCTCTCACTTACACACACACACACATGCGGCTATCCCTTACGTGTGCACGTGGGTGGATGGAGAGGACCAAAAAAACAGAGCGAGAGAGGCCAAACCCTAACCCCACTCCGGTCTCTTTATCTCTTCCCTCCTCTCCCGCTCTGGTTCTAAATGAAGGCTGTGTGTGCCCCTTGCCCCCTTCCCCTCCTCCTCCTCCTCCTCTCTCTCTGCTGCTGTGTGGAAGATGGCCGCTGGTCTGAGAGTAGGTGGGTGAGACTCATTTCCTGTGCTCCTCAGGGCCTCGTTGCTCCAATGGCAGCAGCAGCTCCCACCATCCAGGAGCCCTGTTTGGTAGCAAACACGGGGCATCTACATCTCCTCCGTCTACTCTTCCTCCTCTTCCTCTTCTACTGCTGCCTCCGCCATCCGTGCCACGGCCCCCAGGGGCCCTCGGTATGCCACAGTCTGGGGCCCCCCCAGACAAGCTCTATGCGGAACGGGCCCTGAAGGCCTCACCCACTGAGGTAAGTTCAACAAACACCCAATAGGCCACTTATCCTTCAGCTTTGTGTGTCTCTTGATATATAACTCCTCTTTAAGAATCTGTCGGATTGTTGTGGATGATTTGTTGCTTTTTTGCATTGCCTGCTCTGTTCCTGCATGTTCTCTTTTTCTGTTAATTCATGTTTCTGCTTTTTCTTCCTTTCTGTGAGAAAAATAAAGGCCTGTGTGCAGGGATTTCAACATATTCCAAAGATTTCCACACATTTGGATCACTTGATAGTCAAATTTCACACATGACCAGAACCAATCAAATCATTCATAACACATTTTACTCAAAATAAGTGTACAAAAAGTTCAGGACGTCTATTGTCCACTGTGCACCCTGTGCATTTGTCATTCTGATTAATATAATGATGACTTCCGCAGCTAAGGATCTTCGGATAAGAGGGGGATCCAGGTGGCGGTAGAAATCAATAGTGATGGACAATGCAGAGGGGCAGGGTGGGTTTTTGTTTTCTTGAGTGAGAGCAGGAAATTGCATTCTCCCTGTGTGTGCTGAGGTGGCATTTGGTTTCGCAGGACCTCCCCCCCAAGAAGTTGTACCATCTCTGTGGACAAGCCATCTGTTTGCTTAAACCATAATGTGTCACTCTTACGCAAGAGAGGGCGGACCGAGAACGAGGGGGATGAGTCGCACCTATACACGTACAAGCTGCACGAAAAAAAAAAAAAAACACAATCGGATCTGCAACCCTCCACCTCCCAAACAAATACACACCTCTCCTCATGGACAATACTTAATATCCTCTTGTGTCCCAAAAGTCTTTTCTTTGTCTCCACCTGTTGGATATGCTGTTGAGAAACCCAAACTGAATGAATAAAAATAATAGACAAACCAATAAAACTTTACGCAAATATGTAAACATCAGTAAAATAAGATATATTGACTTTGCCAGACTTTTAAAGAGAATATATCTTGAATTAAAGTTTTCTTACCCTACTGGTTATATATATATATATATATATATATATATATATATACGCCTATATATAATAGAAAAATGATCAATTTACTACATAGATATGAATATATACACAAAAGCAAAATTGCTCAAGAGTAAGAGAATTTAGATTTTTCTTACCCTACTAGCAAAGACTTACATTAAAAATAGAAAGTATCTTATTATGAATATGTTTTACCATTAATTAGAAAAAAATACTAATTAAAATATTTTTTTAAATTATATACATTATTTATGTTTAAATTCTATTTATTTTTTGCATTAAAGGCCAAGTCAACTTTTTTGCATGCTATCTTTTGCATCTCAGGTTTTGTTGCTTCAACTGTTTTGCAGCCAACTGTTTCTTTGCTTTTCTTTTTTCTTCAAGGGTCCCGTCTATCTCTTCTGTTTCTAGTGCGTATGTTTGTGTGTTTTACCTTATGAACTTGCATGCCTCAGGAGTACACACCTCAATACAGACCTGTGCTCAGAAGTACACAAGTGTTGATGTGCATGTGTGTGTGTATTCTTACAGGAGGAAATGCAAGAAGAAGACAATAATCCAAATAACAATGCAGGTACGCGTGGCGCCTGTTATTTTTCACATACATAAGCCGATATCCTGGCGTTAGTTCTCACCTCTCCCTCTCTCCCTCCCTCCCTCTCCCTCTCAGGGCTGGAGCGTGTCCAGGTTCCTGTAGAGGAAGATCAGATGGTGGAGGAGAAGCATGGAGTGTGTGTGGCGGAGGTGCAGGGCGGAGGGCCGGGCTGGCGGCAGGAGCTTGCCTGCTCTCTGTGTAAGCAACTGTTTAGCAGCCTGCTTCAACTGAGACAGCACGAATACAGCCACACGCTCTCGCTCATGGCCCTCTCGCTGGACTGCCTCGACCACCATCGCCCCCTAGTGGTCCCGTCTCCTCTCAACCCTCCGCCAGCGCGCTACCATTGCTCGCAGTGTCCCGCCAGCTTCACCCTCAAGTCCAACGCTGACCGCCATGAGAAGACCATCCACCTCAAACGGAAGCTGATGCAGTGCATGTACTGCCTCAAGCACTTCCGCGACCGAACGGACCTGAACCGCCACCTGTCGTCCGTGCATTCCAGCGAGCGCATCTACACGTGTCCCGCTTGCTCCCGAACCTTCAGCACGCAGAAAAACCTGGCTACCCATGGCAAGGTCTGCTGTCAGTCGGGAATCTCTCCCACCGAGCAGCTGTGGGACCTGCATGGCTTAAAGGAAGATGACCATATCCGTATAGTCGATTGATTCTCCAAACCAGCAACATTTATTACTTCATTACAAAGGGAATGTGATACAAACTTCAGGTCATCCCAAATCAGGCCTTCCCCCAACTTTTGGTCACAGCACTGTTGACATTTCTACACTTCTTTTTAATGTACATCAGATTTGTATGTTCTTCAAATACCTAAACCGTCAGGTTTTTTTTATGACTACTGCATATGTCTGCTGAGGCACAAATGCTATGCAAAATAAAGACATTTTATGTAATTTCTCGTCGCTTATAGAGCTGTCTGCTTTTTGTACCACGCAGGATTTTATTCAAGGTTTTACTGAAGACTGGCGAACATAGAGATCTCGGTGCATTGGATGCAAATGCTTTTTCATTCTGGGTGGCTTTGCACCCCTCTCTTTACCAGCGAACTAATCTTATTATGCTTAGATAGACTCAGGCGCAGGGGTCTCTGTAACTCACCGAGTAGTGAATTCAGCTGTTAAACCTGTGCACAATGCTGCCCTCTGCAGGAGAATCTCTCTCTCTTGTATTCTACACTTGAGTGTGACAAGATGATTAGGGATGAGGAAGATTAAGCAATGTCCTAAATCTTTCAGCAAGCTACGTTGTCTTCAAATGTATGTGTGTGTGTGTGTGTGTGTGTGAGAGAGAGAGAGAGTGCATCAAATCATGTCAGTAATTAGCTCTTCTCGGCTCTCACCCATGCTGACCCTAAATCGCACTGATAAAGGAGATGTGAGAGGAAAAGACGTAAGTCCTTTAAAGTTGTGACCGGTCCTTGTGTGACCTCACACTACCCTCCAAACCTGACTGTAACAGCCAGTAGCAAAGTAAAAGAGGATTGAAGGTGTTTCTGGACCCCTGCTAGCAGAGATGGATCTAAATTATAGTTGTGTTTTTATATGTCTAATGTTAAATCTCATGGAGTTCCCATTTTTGGGTTATTGTTGAAGATGGAAGTGTCAAAAGTGAATTAAGATCTTTTTTTAATCTTGAAAGTTAGCTGTGTCATTGAGTGGTCAGACCACAAATGTATTAACAAGCAGTCTACACTTGTAGTAATACCTGGAGGAGACGTTATGTTAATTGCGATTTTCACACAACATATGTCATACAGTTATGACAAGTTCATTAGTGTATCAGTGGGTGCTTACACACTAGAGGAAGATCTGATGGAGCGTTCGGTGGATAAGGCATGTGTTAGATCCATTTTGAGAGTGTGGAAGAGGTTGAAATCGAGTGAAAATACAGGGAATGGATTTCTGAAACTCGACTCACCTCTCTAAGAATCTCTGCTATTGGTCAACAAATGCATGTCGGTGCACACTGCAGCAGAAGTAGTCAGCGTTTTCGCAACTTTCAAGTGTTATTCTTTTGTCCTCTTTGAAATCAATGGATTTGCAATGTTGCAGTAAATCAGTTGTGGCAGAAACTGTGAATGTGTCGGCATTCTAACCGACACCGCAGTGAAAAAAAAAAGTGGATTGTCACACTAGAACCACCTAAAATTACCCATAAGTCTTATACCCAAGTATGCAAAAGGCCTCTTTTTTTCACAGTTTTTTCTCTCAGAAAATAAGTTGTTTGTCTGGTGTCTTTGTAAAGATCTTGAAGGCTTCAAAGACTTTTTCGCATAGACTATCCAATCTGTGTATCATATGTAAAGCTTTGTTGTGTCAAACAAAATATCTGCTTGGAACAATTTCCAAGTTACAAAATGAAAGCATGACAGTTATCTTTCAAACTGTTAAGTGTGTTGCTGCACTGAATGTTGGGTGAATTATGAAAGGAATCACTGTTTATCGCCTATGCAAAGAGAGAGAGAGAGAGAGATTTGCACTGAAGTTTTCAAGGACATAGCACTTTCTCCTCAGGAAACGAAAGGACTGATGCACTCTGATATTGTCTGAAGAGGTTTAAATGGTGGGTGTAAAAACGCATCAGAAATCTCAGTCACAGCTGTTTTGAATTGCACTATTTTTTATGACTGAAATGAAAAAAAAATCCTTTAGATTAAACCACAGATTTCTGTAAATTATGTATTTTGGAACAGTACTATTGTGTAACTGGTTGGATGTGATTTTTTAGACAATAAATTTTGACATAAAGCATCATGAAAACTGTGGTCATTTTATTTTACAAATAATAAAAATAAATTGAGAACCTGTTATGAAAAAAATCACCAGCTACAGATTTTTAGTACTACAGTTTTGTTTGGATGGTCACAAGGGGTTTATTTGCTACTTTAAATTTAAGCTTGTTGTCATATATCAGATCTGAGCATCAGCTGTTTAAAAAGTGTAGTTTATCAATTCCACGGCAGCTGTTCAGATTCTGAAGTAGTAAATGTGAAACGTGTTGGTTTTGCCATTTCAGCAGCACATGCTCATCAGGTCTTTCATGTGTATGGATTATTAGTTAACCTGGGCTTCAGGTTTGTTCTTGCCTAAATGGTGCTCATCCGCTTATTAGCTGAGCCAGTCTAGACCAATGCCTAATGAGATTACAGTCATCACAGTATGAATAACACAAAGCACATTCCCCTGTCTGAATCTTTTACTAACAGAAGACTGAAAAATTAGAACAAGAACAAGAAGTAGTGGAATTGATGTTTGGTTTTGTCAGTTTGGGTTGATAATTTGTGCAGCAATTGTTCTGCAAACAATAGGAAGCTATGCTATGCTGCGTTGTGGGTTTTTCATCTTTCTTTGTTGAATTTGAGCAGTAAAATCTGTTTCGGTGCTGTGGTTGCTAGGGAAACTGTCTTTTGGGGCTGCTTTTGGTAGCTAAGGGCAGGTGAGTTAGGGAGAGTATCCCTCTTGCAGTTTGTCAGTGCTTTGGCTATCTTCAGTGTCTGCCACTAGATGACACAGTGAAAGGATAGGAGGGATTGGACAGGAAATACAGTAACTGATGTGAAAGTAGCAGTAATAATAATAATATGATAAACAGTGACAACTTAGAGGCGTTTTCCCTTGATTAAAAGAGGAAAATACAAATATTTGGATTTAATTGTATGTTCATTAATAATGTATTGCAATTGCAATTTTTTGTACTCTTGTACAGTGAAGAGTACCGTAATACAATATAATATCACATAAAGCATACATATTAGCGTACTGGTAAAGCTACCATAATACTTGACAATATATATAGATACTATATTTTTTTTGCATTACAATAATACATTTTTGGTACTTTATAATATGTTTCAGTTTTTTAACATTATTTAATGAAATAGCTGACAAGAAATAGCAGTATAAAATACTTTTAAAGCATTAATTAAAGTTAATGTCAATTTTATTAATGTATTATAGATGAGGTCCGTGTATCATCTGATCATCCAATTATTCCATTCAATCTGGCAAACAAAAAACAGTATCATCAGAATCATAATTAATGTTCTTACGTATAAAAGTAATAAAAAACCCTCACTATCAGCATATGAATTAATGTAGTACAGAAGACGGGGCTCTTTGACCAATCAAATGTAAGAGGCGTTTCAGCACCGCCCACATGTGTGAATTAAATATTGAAGCCATAAACCGATTTGTAAACCACAAACAAAATAAGAGATGTCAAGGCAAAATCTCATTTTCCAAAAAACGAGAATTCAGCTTAAATTTTCGTTTTTTGTTCAGGGGTAGAAAAATGAATAAACAGCTTGAATATTTGATTTCTACACGTGGGCGGGAATTAAATGCCCCTTTCTGCTGATTGGTCAGCCGAAGATTAAACCATGCCGTCATCAGTTCTTCCACAGAATCACGCAGCAGAATAATAGTCCTCCGCTGCTGCAGTTGTACGGATTCTTAACGCATTTATTGCAACTACATTTCATCTTTTTTCATCAAACAGACTAATGAATAGCTCGACACAACTTCCGTGTAGATATAAATTCTACGCTTTGCATCAGGTGCATGGCAGGGTATGATATGACGGCTGCCATAGCCTACCCTGCTCACCCAGTAAGTCTGTTTGTTTAATTAAGTAATTAATTTATTAATTCGTTTCAAAATAAATATTTTACACACTAAAAAGGAAAGCATAATAAATTGGCTTGGGTGTATAGGCCTATAATGTTCACGCAAGAACTGTCATTCTGACTGACAACCGGAGAACAACATATATTAAATATATCTATATATATCTACTTTTAGAGTTTTATAATGTATCTTGTGTTTTATTCAAATTGATTATAATTGATATCTCAAGAGTATATGCGCTTGTGCGCGGCGTGAGCTGCAGCACACTTGCACACAGGATTGCAACGCAAGATTTTCATAAATCACGCAAGGACTTTCTGACTGACAACCGGAGAACAACATATATTAAATATATCTATATATATATATCTACTTTTAGAGTTTTATAATGTATCTTGTGTTTTATTCAAATTGATTATAATTGATATCTCAAGAGTATATGCGCTTGTGCGCGGCGTGAGCTGCAGCACACTTGCACACAGGATTGCAACGCAAGATTTTCATAAAATATAATAACTTGCCATTTCGGTTTGTTTCTCACCAAACCCACAGTATACCTTCAGAACGTTTGGAATATACGCCACGAGATGCATAGGATTATTTTACGACAGATATGCATCCGCTTAA